AAATATAAAAAATAAAATATAAAATATAAAATATAAAATATAAAATATAAAATATTGAATATAGAATATAGAATATAATATGGAGAGGTGTAATAATACTCAGCATACTTTCTGGAGCGAATCAAATTTCCCTTTTGAAAGAAAAAATAAGTGTATTCCGCAGTCGTTATGCCTAGCAAGCTCTATTACTAGGAAAAGCTGTTCATTTCGCTGGGCCATTTCATAATTCTATGGAATATTTTATGCATTATATATATCTGAGGAGATGAGAGCGGGACGGGAGATGGATAGGCAACGAGCAAGATGGAGATGGAGGCGCCATGCCGCTGGCAATGCGCAGCAAAAGCCAAAGCCAGAAACTTTATTGTTTTCAATTAAAAACATTTTACATGCAAAAACATGCGCATCTATGTAAACGAGTGCCTCGATCCATTCATAGGACTTACGAGCAAACAAACAAACGGCAACAACAACAACAACGAACAACAACAAACAACAACAAACAAATAACGAAAAATCATCAAGAACAACGCACAATTGCAATGAAGTGAAATGTAATGAGGTGTAATGAAAATGCATTCAAGTGTTGCGCCTGACAGTTTTCCACCTGCACTTAACAATAATCGTAATCAACAGCAACAATTGCAACAACAACAACAACTGTAGCTTACATCTGCTGTCATATAACAAGTTATCCATGGAGATATCAATTTCATTCAACTTCTACTTCAATGCAATCTCTGCTAATGAATTTGCAACAGAAACTCAGATTATAAACATACATATACATATATTCAAATAAATATATACATTTTATATTAATATAAATATATCTATGTATGTTTATGATATTCACTTCCATTAAATGCCTTTGCTAATTGGGTTATATTAAGCATAAAACAAGTTAGTTTTGTTTGTGATAGTGGAACACTTACTCAAATTGCATTACGCATCCAGATATAGTCCGAATTGCACAAAAATAACATTTAATCGGTTATGTATACAGCTAAGGACTTACTAGACTTTCAATATACCTCTATTCTCTACCTAAATACAACTATAAAATTCAATATCTACAAGTTCGACATCTTTTAAGTTATATTTATATACATTTAAAAAAAGCAAAGAATTTCATATTTCCATTATCTTTTTATATCTAGGACATACAAGGAATAGGAGAAAAACACATATCAAATATGTTTCAAATTGCACTTTACAAAATAAAAGCTTTGTCTTCTACTCGAGTTTATCGAGCTCTTCTACTAGATTTTTACTTTGAGTGGCTCTTGGCGTAGATCTTTTTATGACTAGGATTTCATGCAGAAAAAATATGATATAGAAAAAATCTTTTTCTGATCATAGTTTATATTCTTTAGTTCGTTAGCTCCTTAGCTAGTTCAATCCTTGATAATCAAACTAAAGTTTGAAGGATTTGGTTGAGAACTTTTTTGTATGCTTTGTTAAATTGTATTGTAATATACTCAATAGCATTAAGATAGCATCGATTCACTTAAAAAAAAAATATTAATAAAACATAGTCTTAAACACCCTCTCACTTCCAGCTGCCAATTACAGGGTACATATTTAATGCATATACATATATGTTAATAGCAACAACATTTGCCAGTAAACTGTTTGATATTCATGTTTACCAAATCGCACTCGAGTGGCAAATAATTCTGGACTCAAATGAATGCAAATCCAATCAAATCAAAGTAAATCAAATCGAAACGAATCGAAATGCTTTAACTGTAAAGCAACCTCAACTGTTGACATTTTGTGTGAACGCACCGGGTTTTTTCAGGGCGTGTGAGGCGAGTCCTTTTATATACAAAATTATTAATGAACTCCAAAGCGCAGCTAAGCGGAAATGCGGTCCATCAGCCAAGCAGAAAGTGTCCAAGTATGAGTCGGTACGGGTGTGTGTGTGTGTGTGCGGGTGTGTGTGTGCTTCTTGGTGTTGGGTATAACAATGTTGGCTAACGGTGTGCACAATGGGCGTGCTTTAGGCCTAATTAGCCTCGTGGGCAGCATCAAAACGGCCCCAAAATCCAACAAACAGGCAAACAGGCGTCATGAGAAGCGCATAGAAAGGCCGAATGCTTCGGCCACTATAAATAACAAAGGCAGAACGCATAATTAGGCAAATGCTGCTGCTGCTGCTGTTGTTGTTGTTGTTGTTGTTTGGCACACTTGAAATAGCGCAAATTGGCGGGTTTTGTGGTCTCATGAACCACGCCCACACTTGAGCCACAGTGCGCTGCGACTGCACTTCCGCTGCGACCGGAAGGCAGGAGCCAGCAGCTAAAAAATGGAAAAAAACGAGAAAAAAGCAAAAGTGCCCGTTGTCAAAATCCTTAAGTGGTAAACGGTCCGGCGTCAAGATGCGACTGCACACACACACACACTCACTCACACATACACCCGCACCCACAGTGGGACACATAAATAAATGCGCCAAACAAATCCGTAAATATGATTAAGTGTCAAATTTATTTACTGCTCCCTGGTTGACTTTAAAAACGAAATACGTATAAATGCAAAACTCCTTTTTTTTTGGGCAAAGCCCCCCAGCGGGCTAGCGGCTTATGCCGGCAGCTGCCACCGGCGTCACGCCCCATGCCCCATGCCCCATGCCGACCACCTTGAGGCTTAGTATGTGGCACTGTTGCCGCTGGCGGGGCAACTCGATTACAATTACGTGCGCTAATTGCACTTTAAACGCGTCCAAGCTTGTCAACGGGCAACGCTTCGCATCCGCATCGTGCCGCGCTCGCTTCTCGCAGTTGACGGGCCCGTACAAATTTGCTGGCGCTTTTCACAGTTTCGCCTCTTATTTTCCATTCGCCTTCGCCAACGCTGCGCTGCCAACGCTTTTTTTTTGTATGGCATTTCCTGCAGCAGCGACTTACAACTACATAAATTTGCAAACATCATGTTTCACATACATATATAATGTATATATATATATAATTTGTTAGGTTTGCTGCATGCAGCCAGGTGGCTTGTGGCAGGTGGCAGGTGGCAGGTGGCAGCACTACTTGTATTATAATAGCCTGCCACACGGCTCTCCACTAGACGTCGCCGCCCGGCCGTAATTCAAAGTGACGCTAAATTTAGTTTAATACACATGAAAACCCACTGTGGAATAGAACATTTTCCGACTTCTGCTTGCGGCGAAATGAAATAAAAGCTCATTTTTGTATAATTTAGCAGTTTTTTTTCAACGCGTGTTGTGCTGTAATTCGCAACTAGTTTAGGGCCAAAACAGCCAGATAATAAGATTATTAAATGCGAGGTGCTTAAGATAAGAAAGAAATGTTGTGATAGGGGGATTAGCTTAAGTTTTAGTAATCCAAAAATGCGCGATAATAAATGGTAAAAATAATAATAAATTAATAATAATTATAATATAAAGAATATAATTACCAACAATAAATATATTGTACACTAATAACTAATTTTAAATGAATGTAGAATGACTCTATTCGTAGTATTTTAAATAAATAATTGTTTTATGATTTTTTGTATTACTGTACATTTTTTATTATCAAAAAAAGTTTAAAACATTAAAAGTAAATAAAATATAAAATAATACAAATTTAAAAAATTAAAATGTATAAAAAATATAGATTATAATTATAATAAATAATGAAATAATGTTGAAATAATTATAAATTTTAAATAAATAAATATATGTATATATACAATGGACTGTGTAATTTACATATGTATTACACAATATATTACAAATTTTTAATAATAAAACAAATATTTAAAATATCACGATGACAAAATTTGTATAATACACAATTTAAAAATTCCTATAATATT